TACCATATAATAATTTGTTTTTTTTTATTGATTTTCAGACCACAGTATCAACTATCTACAAAAAATACATTTCTTTTTTGTAAAAAAAAACTAATTAAAACAAAAATCAAAAACATTCGAAATATGTTTAACAAATATATCTTTATTTTTAGATTAAAAGTTGTTATTGATGATTATCAATTGTTGTCGTCATCGTTATTATTTTATTATCCTGATATCTTTTTGTTTTTGTTTATTCTTTTTACTAAAAAATGATTTATCACTTAAACAATTTTTATATAATCAAACAAATTTTGATTGTTGTGATTATCCATTATTATAGAATGGTGTCAAAATCAAATTCATATATGTAATTCATCAGTGATTATTTTTAATAAATTATTTATAAAAACTCATTCAATAATTTTACAAACAAAATTTGCTAAAGGAAAACGAAATGGAGGTAAAGATCTTAATAAAGTTTTAAAACAAAATGAAAATGATGAATATTTTCATTTTGAAAAAGATTTTATTCAAGTAATTTATTTATTAATTTCAAATCAAACAAAAAAAACAAATGATACTTTCATATTTTAGTTTTCGTGTAATATTTTATTACCAATAGAAATACTTCCAAATAGTCATTTGTCTGATATATTTTCTTCAGTTACATTATATCATACATGGCAAAATTTATCTATAATCAATGAAACAACTATAGCTGTCAATCGCTATGATTATACTAATTTTTATCATACTATAACTGATCTTTATACAGTTTATCTTTTATGTCGATTTTTTTCGTCATGATCCAAAATCTGTTCATATACTTTTTCTTGATACTCATCCGAAAGGTAATTTAGAGGTATTATGGTTACAATTATTTCATTCATATATTCGTTTGGGACATTTAAATATTTCTTCGATATTTTATAAAGAATTAATCTGGTCACCATCACAAGCACAATCTGAATTAGATTTAAAACAATCTCGACAAAAAGCACCAAGTTATTTTTTTGATTTTCGTCAATATATTCTTGAAAAATTTAATATTATTTATTCTAGAATAAATAAAAATTTTAATTGTCAAAATATAAATATATTGTTTCTTGTTCGTCATAATTATATTGCACATCCAAGAAACCCAACAGGAGAAATAAAACGACAATTAATAAATGAAAACCAAATTCTTAATGAATTAATACTTAAATTTCAAAATTTTTCATCTATTCATTTTACTTTTAATCATTTCGAACAATTATCTATGCAACAACAATTATCAATTATTATACAAACAGACATTTTTATTGGTATGCATGGTGCTAGTTTAACAGATGTTCTTTTTATGAAATCAAATCGTGCTCTTATTCAATTTGCTACAACTGCTTGGCAAAAACAAACACATTTCGAACAAATGGCTTTGATTAATAATATTAATTATCATCGCTGTTTAATTCTTAATGGACATTCAACAACAGCACAAACTATATTTAATTGTTAAACAAAAACACTTTTGTAAATGTGTCCTTCATTTGAATTATCAATGAATACTATTCCTTGATTGATTATAAAAAAAAGAACCGATGTAAAACATAGAAATTTATGTTATAACAATAGAGTATTAGTTTAGGTATTTCATGGAATTTAAAACATGGTTATTTGTTTAAGGAATTTGTTATCTTGAGAATTATGTATGATTCACTACATTCATATATTTACTCGATCTACAATAGAAACATCTACTTTTGCTGTCATAGTACAAATTCATATATTCTTATTCCATTTAGCATATTATTCTCAAGAAAAAAAATAGATTATATCAACAATAGGATTCTTAGTATCTCTTACTTGCATCAGATGATAAACGTTTTTTGAATATTACGAAATTGCTCTTTATTATCAATTAGTAAGAAAAAAAATGCGTTGGCCTTAGAAAGAGATAACATGATATGAAGTGGGTTCTCCCTTTTTTTTTGTCTTGCTGGCATTCAACAAAACTATATCAGACAAAGCTAATTCGAAGCAAAAAAAAGATAAACCTTAACATTTGTACATAGATAAATAGCCAAAAATAGAAGAAGTAATTAAATAAAGGCGATAATAACAACAGTAATGATATTGGCATACATAAATTAAATGAATGTCTTTGTGTCAACGTCTGGAACTATCAGTGATAATGAGGTCATAATTATTGATTTATGTTATTTGTTTTTCTTTTCAAATAATGATAGTAAATATATTTGATTCAAGAAATATTTCAATAATTATATATAGAAACACATATGTTTGTTCATAAATATGTCCTCCAGATTATATTCTTATTTGTTGTATAAGAGTTTATATGTTGTGTAATATGAGACAATAGCTTTTTTCTTTTGTATATAGAAAATGTGATATCTGTGTCATTGATATTAGCTATTGTACACATACTTTGATGATGGGCATTATCAGTACGTTTTTCTGTTATCTATTGCCTGCTGGGCTTGTTCCTATGACATTGATTGATGACCCACTAGAAAGACATAATAATCTTAGGAGGAAAATTTTCTATATGGACCGCTAAGTATATGTCCATATATTGAGTATATTCTATTTAAATATTAATTATGTATTTCAAAACAAAAAAAAACTATAAACGTGGTCTTCTATATAAATATATATATGTAGAATGTATTATTGCTTATGTTCTATGCTCATTTTATCAATAGAGGTCATGAACAAATGGCAATAATTATCTTTCATGAATTGTGCTAAGCAAATGCGTTAGTTTTTCTCATATATATCTAGATGTTTAAGGACATAGGCAATAGTCCAAGTAAATAATTCATCATGATGGAAACAAGGACAATTGTAATATCTTATGAGATAGAATGATTTAGAAATACCAAAGTTATACTATTTGACTGATGAGAGGTGAAAGAAGAAGGTTATTAATGGATTTTATATTTTCTTTTCATCAGTGACATTCATAATTTTCTTTTGTATATAAAAACTTTGTTTAGGTAAGTAAATCTATATTTATCTCTATGATCAAAGTCTATATAAATTCGAGCTAATCAATAACAAAGCTGAATAGAAGCAGTATAAAATACTTGTTTTCGTTGTGCGGTTAAAGACAACGAGAGAAATGAAAAAAAAACCGTTCCAGTGACCGAACAGTAAGATTTGTGTTTTTGAATTCTGACCTATATATGCCTCGACCATTAAATAAGAATCAAATTTTTGACTGAAAGAATATATTGATATAGACAATAAAAACAAAAGAAAATGAATTTCTATTACTCCTTATTATGTCTTTCTGCAATAAGCATTTACAATTGACACTCTTTTCCCTTTTTTTCTGTATTAATGGATTATCTTCGTCGTTTTTTGAAACTTCTCTATGTCAAAAGAAATTGACACGTCAGACATTCCTCATGATTTTGAGAAAATTATGTATTTTATTGACTTGTCTATAATTAATATATACATAACAGATAATTTGTTATTTGAGTAAATGAATAAATTAAGTATTTTTTTCTTTTGTTTTATCGAGATCATAATACAATTTTTTAATGTCTTTCTGTTTCTATATGCTTCATTTTTTTTCATTTGTTTATTGGTTATGCTTGTGTTCTTCACCTTATTAAGTGTTAATGTTATTCTTATTGCTAAATGTATATTTTCTGTCGTCTTAAAAAGAAAAATCTCGAAGGAAAAAGATCGAAGAAGAAGACGAATGTTAGTGTTGATATTATGTATCCATAACTAATACTTATGCAATAGCTTTTCTTCGATTTGATTGGACCAAGGGACTACCCTTATCTTTTTTTTTCTTCCGGCATAATGATGAGAGACAAAGGTAATGATCGATTTCTACTTTCCGAAAAAAAGCGCTACTAAATTTTTCTCTACACAAATATATATATGTGTGATATTGATCATACTCAGAATTTTCAGCCAACATAATACCTTCATATTGTTACTTTGTTATTATTGCATATATATGCACGTGTATGTCTAAGTACAGATAACTCTATAAATATATTTTCTTAATAGTAATGTAGTTACCATATTGTGAAATACAAACTAGTCGCAACTTATAGTAATATATCATTTTTTTTTGGTTAACTTATTATTGGTAAGAGAAAAAGAGAGAGGGAGGGAGAGAGAGAGAGAAATAAAGAAAAAGATGCTACTCTTGCGGTCTGCGGTGGTAGCATTAGTGGTTATACCAATCATTACTCAATATATCGTTGTAAAGAGAAAGAATAACAACGTTACCGGACGGTTATTCGGCTCTTTTTTTCTAGCTTATAGCGTACTAACTGCTCCTATGTGGTCGTCGAGTTTGTTTCTAGTATTATCAGGCAAGAAAAAAATTATTTATCTAAGCTCGACGAACGATAGACATGGCTCATAGCGTATATGCTACTTGTTTGCGTTTATCTTCGAGAAAGACAGTCGTATATATTCTGCGTTTATGTCTCTTTTTTATCCGAGAGCAAAAGAGTAAAGTAAGCTATTCAATATAATAGAGATGGGAGTAAAAAGTTTTTCAAAAAAAGAAAACAAAACTTTTCTATATTTTTTTGTTGTTTTGTACATTGATAGTTATCTAAACTTGTATACACTATGTCTTAGAGTTGTCACTATATAATTTGTACGTGCTTATGTTAAATTTTGTGATTGATCTGGGAAATGATATATCTTCGAAGTACAATTATTTATATTTGGGATGAATCTTATGATAGCGAATATTTTTTCTTCTTGTTTTGATAAATGAGTTAGATAGTTAGACTTACATCATGATAAGATATAAAGATCAAATCGTTTTTCTTTCTATTATGTATTAGATGAGATGACGAAGATAATCAATATATGTATATATATATATATATATATATATATTTATTTATTTATTTATTTATTTATTTGTGTGCGTGTGTAAAATATTGATTATTTTCTTGTATTTAAATTTTAGTTTTCAGATATAAGTCTCTTAGTCGTTTTTTCCACTTGTCAATCCTATTGTTCCGGGGATGGACGCCAAGATTATCACAGGTTTTATCCTATGGTTTTGTTTTATTTCAAGCATATTGATATCTCAAGTAAGATATTTATTGATAAATATTATGTATTCATTATGAAAATTTTCATACTAGATTGAATCCTCCACACTCAATTCAAGGCAAAGGTTTAGACGACAAAATGATGAAAGTAAGTTGATCGCAATTAAATAATTGCGTATTTTTTCTTCTTTACCCTTGTTTAACCATTAATTCTTTCATCCTTTCTTTTTGCTACCTACATTCTCCCGCGATTAGGTATTACTTGTCCGGAAGGAACTAAGCCTTGTAAAGATGATAACAAAATGTGTGTTGCCTATTGTGATGGAAATCCCCAATGTGTTGATGGTTCCGATGAGCTCGATTGTAGTAAGTATATTATGAATGATCATCATCATCAAGGAATCAATTCTTTACTTCAAAAATTCCTTCACCTTCAGCTACGAGTATTCCTGCTACATCTTCTGACAGTATTGCTTTTGCTCAAAGTACAGAATCGAGTGGTAATGAAAACAAACATGTCAATATACTTGACGGAACAACTGCTATAACCGAAGCTACTCTTCCACAAATAATACTACTCGATCGAGAAACTATACCGACAGGTGTGATTTCTATTGAGAATAGAATATTAAATTGCACGTTTTTTTATTTTATTTTATTTTATTTTATTTTGAGTTAATTTTGATGTTTGATTTGCTTAATGAACTAAATTGTTTTTTGTCTTTCTGTTTTAGCTGCTGTAGACGCCACTAGTACCGGTAAGGTTCAAAGACGATTTTCTTCAATTCTTTCTGTACTAACAATATAAATAGAAATGTTTTTCTATATCACTAAAAATTTCTTGCCTTTTTTTTGTTCTAAAATGTACACATATCTATCCTCTACATACATAGAAGCTGGAAATGCAGCCACTACTCAACAATCAACTGCTGGAGAAGCACAAGCAGCAACAACTGTGCTTGCCGATGGTGCAACTACATCCGTGCAAGCAGAAACTACGGCTGCACCTGCCGCTGATGGTACTACAACAGCTGGTGCTGCTGATACTACAGCAGGTCCTGCTGCTGGTGCTACAACTGCTGCTGGTGCTACAACTGCTGCTGATGCTACAACTGCTGCTGCTGCCGATGCTACAGCAGATGCTGATGCTACAACAGCGGCTGCTAATGCTGATGTTACAACAGGTGCTGATGTTACAACAGGTGCTGATGCTGATGCTACAACAGGTGCTG